ACATCACTTAATGCCTGAGTTTACAGCTTAGGGATCTCGTGAGTAGTGATAACACCCAAAAAAAAAAAAAAAACTGATAATTGAATTTAGGACAGTTAGTAAAAAATTTAATCACGCAACAAAATTCAAAAAAAAAAAAAAGTGAGTAAAAACAATCAGCGATTTCTGAAGTAACTGTATGATTCATAAAAACAATTTGAGGTGAGATCAAAGTTAACAAACAGTAAAAACGATGAAAAAAATGAATAATCTCCTAATAAAAACAATTAAAAAAAGACGAATAACAATTGAAAGTAATGAAATTTAAACAATTAACAATTGAAATAGTTAAAAGTAATGGAAAAAGTTTTTCAACTTTCCTGGCTTATTGCGAATACCGACGAGATCCACATTCATGGCTAATCCACTCCTAATTCATGTCCAAATTCAAACTGAATTTCTGTTTAATATTTTTTACGTTTTTAAGCAAAAGCACACGACCTTCTTTCTCACTCGCTGCATGATACGGTGACATTCCCACACAAACGCAAAACGTCACTCTCTCTTCCTCGACGACAGCGCTCCAGTAACGCATTTTACGATTTTACACACAAATCGATCTCCTGCAAATTTTGGAAAATAATGATTATTAGTAGAATAAATTAATCTGAAATAATATCACTAAAGAACATGAAAACAAATACACTGGATGAATTAGAAGCAGCTAATACTCGCATATAAAATGAGTACAAAATGAGGTTCAATTAAAATACAAAAAAAAAAAACATCATGATATCCAGGACAGTCCTTCCTATCCAGGATAACACGTCAGTACCATCTGTCAGCTGACCAAATCGATTGTTCACTTTCATCTTCGCCAACCTGTTCCTCTCCATCCTTAGAATAACCATCGTCCCGCAACGGAAGTGCAGGAAAACGCAGCGGTGACGAACAGTAATCATCATGCTGAAATTCACAGAATAAATGCTAAAAACTCAAAAAAAAAAACGATTTTAATTCAACTCATCAAAAATTTAGTTACGATACTGCACAGATTACTACTGGTGGAAGAGAAGGCACGGTCACATATTCGAAGCTTACTACATCGCCTTAAAATTATGCTCAAGCTCATAAGAAAATATCAGAGAGATCATCTACAGTAGGCATAGGCAACTTTTTTTTGGGGGCCTAATTTACATACTTAAACTCGCAGATCACCTTTTAATAAAACTCAGGTAACAACACGTCAGGTTTGCACGAGCGATTGTGCGTTTTAGCGCTAAATTTGAAGCAGTCAGATCGTTAATAGTATGAATGGGTCTTAAAGTATTTTCCAGATTGTCGTCTGTTAGCCTCGTACGTATTTTAGTTTATTTTCACGAGAGTGCGGAAGATTTTCACGAGAGTGCACTAACCTCGCCACGCATACTGTGACCCTCTTTCAGACAAATTTTCCCCACATTAATATCCTTCTGAGGATGAATCAGTTTCGCTTCATGCAGTTGACGAGCAGCATTGTGCAGCATCACCAGCGACACTCTCTACAAAGTGAAAAATTTAAACTAAAGGATTTCTGAGAGTGTTTCTCCCTTTATCTGTTCTTCGATAACCCCGTAGATTCCAATAAAAAAAAAGAATGTAACAGAAATTGAGGAAATTAGGAAATCTCCAGTGCATTTGTATAGGTATTTCTCCACGAAATGGCACTTGAACATGCAAACTGGGAAAAATAACTGACTTAGACCTAGATATATTGCTTTTTCATTAAGATGTCATTATTTGTCGAGCAAAATGGATGCCGCATATTACTGACTAAGCCTCTAATTTGGGCGACTTTCAAAAAGGTAACACGAAAAGCCAAGGCAATAATTGACTATGTGTAGCTGGGATCCGAAGGAACTGGTACGGATGTGCTTTAGTGCAGGCGGTTTAGCTGTTCGCCATTGATATTCAGCGAATTTTTTAAACTCATTTTATGAAATTCAGTCCCAAGAAAACTCTTAAAAAGCTTGAAAGAGGAGATCATCCAGCACCACGCTTCATTTAAGCATAAATATTGTTATTTGAATAGCCGATATTCATCTATTGAGTCTTCCATCTAGGAGAGATTGCCGTACAAAAAAAAAAGGTTTAATAAAGTAGGAAGGGGCAGTACGGGCTGTAACGGCCCTACAAACATCATAT